TGACTCATTGGAAAAGACCCTGATGCTGGGAGGGATTGGGGGCAGGAGGAGAAGGGGACGACAGAGGATGAGATGGCTGGATGGCATCACCAACTCGATGGGCATGAGTTTGAGTAAACTCCGGGAGTTGGTGATGGACAGGGAGGCCTGGCGTGCTGCAATTTCATGGGGTCACAAAGAGTCAGACACGACTGAGTGATTGAACTGAACTGAACTATCCATATTTGCAATTTTTCAGAAAGGTAACATAAAAGAAAAATATTGTGTGTATACACACACACACACCATTTCAGGTTTGATGCTTGGTTCAGGAAGGCCCCCTGGAGAAGGAAATGGCAACCTAGTCTGTATTCTTCTCTGGGAAATTGCATGGACAGAGGAGCCTGACAAGCTGCAGTCCATAGGGTCACAATGGTTAGACACGACTTTACTGCTAAACAACAATATGTATTATTTTACATTTATATATATATACACATATATGTATATGTTTATATATGTATATGTATCCCTGTTGCTGGGAAAGATTGAAGGCAAACTGAGAAGAAGGCAGAGGATGAGTTGATTAGATAGCATCACTGATTCAAGGAACATAAACTTGGGCAAACTTCGGGAGATGGTGAGGGAGAGTGAGGCCTGGTGTGCTGCAGTCCATGGGATCACAGAGTCACACATGACTCAGCAACTGAACAACAATAACATATGTAGTTATATAATTGTATGTTTTATAATTATATAATTATCATTATCTATGATTACATATATAATTTAAGTGTTTACAGCCTGACACCTCCACAAGGTAATTTTTTAATCCCAGTGTCAGCCACTTTTACATGGATATGAAAATTCTGTTCTCACAATAGCAAATAACTAAACTTGATTGAAAATGTCCTAACCTTATAAAGTGGGTTCAGGATGCTGTGCTTTATTCCTAAGGCTGCTGGTCTCAACTATGAATGATCCGACTTGCCTGTAGCACTGTAGTTAGTATTTTTCAAAAGATAAGACTCCAAGTCATGAGTAAAACCACGTGTGCACCCCCAGTAATCACCACCACGTCAGGATGACCTCTCTTTTGTTTTGCCTCCCCCATCTTACACAGTGTATCTCCATGGAAGAATATAACCTGAACCCTGTTCTGAAAAGAATCCAAGAAATTCACTGAAGAGTGAGAATATTTCTGAAAATCAACAAGCTCTACCTGGTAAGTCCACCCTCTTGAGCAATTAGTTTTATGTACATCTTCTACTCTTAATTAAACTTCTAGTCATTGGTGTTAATGTCATATTGCAAATGTGGTGTCAGGAAGACGTACCCATTATGAACCCTAAAATAAGAGACCAAACCTTCTTATAAGTCTCTGTGTTTGCTGTGATGTGTTTTCATCTGCTAGCCCAACCATCATTCCCTTTAGATATCATACATCTTAAGGAGTACCATCACTAATTCATCTTATATTCAATATTAGCATATGAGGATGATATTCTGCAAACATTTGTACTGATTGTTACAAAGTTGTAGTTGATATTTATAAGTTCTTTTTTCTATTACCAATTTCAGCTAGAGCCTCATCAAATTATGATTCTTAGTTTCATAGATTGAGCCTAATAATTATTTAAACTTCTGAGTCATTAATGATCTTACTTATTTGAGGGTGCTGTGGTCCTTCATTAATTTGTAGTACTGAACAGGCACATCCACTAATAATACCACCAGAGGACTATCTGAATCCCAGACATTCTTCTTCTTGAGCCACTTTTATAGTAGCAATTCCATTTTCCCTTTTATAAACAGGACCAATCAACTTTGATCCCCATTTGTTGCTGATTGATGAGCCGTAAGCTACGATATGGTAGCCTCAACTTGTGATTCAGAGCAACCATTATTGTTATTCCTGGTGGAAACATATCTAGATCTTTGGGATTTAAGACATACATTGGTGGTGTCTTCGCTGAAATGCTTATGCTTTCCTTCTGTATCCACAGTAAATACAGTTATTTTATAATCCATATCTATTGATTCTTAGTCATCAGGAATGACTAAGAACCTATTTTTGCTTAATATTTTGTATTTTTGGTCTTCATTTAGATGTTGTGCTTTCTTATGACCCTAGATATCATTGATTGTGTGCTAAACATTTTAGTTGAAATATTGTTTTTAAAATAATTGTCAAAAAGTGTTGGGTGAGGTCATATTCTTCCAGAGAGAATTTATTAACCTCTTTCAGGCATCTGAGGACGTTAGAAATACATGATTAATCTAACCTAATATCAGGATATGAGTTTTTTGGGGTCACTGATTTAACTCAGAGAGGTACTATAGTCTATGTAAGGCTTATTTGCATCCATCTCTAATTACCCTCAGCATACAGCACTTTAAAGCCTCATATTTAAATAAAGGTGGGTTCAGTGCTGCAAAGTTAGCGTCTCTAGCCCGGCTCCCATCCTGCTAGATTCCGAAGACTGAAGGTATTCTGTTCACTCTTTCGGTTGTTTGTCTTGCTTTCATGCTGGGCAGAATGATCCCAAAGGCTCGGCTCATCTCACTGATGCCTATTGTATTCCACATCTTAGCCTCGCAATTCCTTTTTATACTTTTATGTATTTTGATTCTTTCAGGAATCTATTTTAGCTGTATCATTCAAATTTCTTATTTTGTTTTGAATACAGATTTATTTCAGTTGGCTAGTCCATTATTACTAAGGACTCCCATTCCATTGTTTAATTCAGGATTTTTTTTTTCTGATAGAGAAAACTTAAAACTTTGAATCTTGGGACTTAAGGCCATTTCTACAATTATTTCATTTTATCTGTTTATTTTTAAATTTAACTTGTTTATTTAGAGAGGAGTGACGACTACTCTCTAGCTGGGGTGCCCAGCCTTCTGACTGCAGGACTTCTCTCGTTGCAGGGTACGGGCTCTGTAGCACATGGGCTTCAGTGATTGTGGCGCTTGGGCTTGGTTGCCCCGTGGTGCGTGGAGACTTCCAGGACCAGGAACTGAACCCATGTCCCCTGCCCTGGCGGGTGGATTCTTAGCCCCTAGACCACCAGGGAAGTTCCGGTTTCCACAATTATTTTATCCTGAAAGTTCTTAGAAGTTCTAGTCACAAGAAACAAAATAATGAAAAGTAAATTCTTTGATCATAAGCAATGCTGACTAAAGTTTCATGATGATGAATAAGGTATTTAATAAATATACGAGTGGTGCTGTTGGCGGAAATCATAAAGGTAGAAGATGTATCAATAGTTACACACTAAGCATGTGTCTATTTTACTATGGACAAATTACTGCTCCATCCATGATGGAAGAATGCCAAGTAATCAATTTTAATTTGCAGCCAGTTGGCTGTTCTTTCCCTCCAAAGGATGATGCCATAGCAAGAAATCAGCAGTGGTCTCTGTTGTTGACATATTGCATATGCAGTAGTAATGTTGGCCAAATCAACCTTCTTAAGGCAAAGACTGTGCAATCATTTTACCTCCGCTGCCATGGCTGTGTTTTTCATGTGTCCCTTCAGTGAAAATGAGGTCAATTGGAAAAGGAGGGAGATAAACCTTCACTGAATGGGTCATTTTCATGCACCTGATCACTAAGAGCTTGATTTGCAAAAGATTCACTTTGATGATCCAGCTTACAGCAGTATAAGGTTTGTACACGCAGTTCTTACCCTGAGCATCCGTTCATATACCTTGCGTTCATTCCTCTAGTGATGTTCCTTCCAAGTCTGTTACCATCAGCTGAACCACTCTCCACATATTAATGTTAATGTAACTCCAACACTTTAGTAATCTCTTCTTGTAGACAGATTAATTGCCCAAATCTCTCAACTGGGAGTTTCATTACCCACTGTCATTCAGGAATATTCCTTTGAGCACTTATGTGACCAACCAGTGTTATTTTAGGCTGTGTCAGCATACTATTGTGGAATGATCATGGACAAAATGTCAGTTTGCTTTTGCAGTCTGACTGGTCATAGAGAATTCCACAGTAAGCCACAGGGTTGGGTTGAGGTAGATGTGGGAGATGAGGTCACTGAAAAATAGCAGAGACTACAGGAGTCTGAACCATTGCTTATAAGACTTTATTTGCCTTATGAAACAGTTTAGGTCTGATATTTTATATTGCACTTATACTTGGTAATGGAGTACTTAACCTTAACCTCATGCCTTCATAGATTAGATTACATATATGTTGTGATAGGGAGGTCAGACCGCAAGGTTGCTTCGTGACTTGAGGTCAAGCTTTCTGCCCCTACCAGTGCCCATCATTAAGGCAGAAGCTGCTGTCAAAGGAGAATATATATTGGAAGATAAAAGCATGCTTTCCCCAACTCTGATATATGTCTTATGAGATCTTGCCAGAGGCTCCTTGTACCCACCATGTCAGCCACAGATACTTGTAACATCTTTGATCTGGTTTACACAATGCAAGAGGCTTGGTATTAATAGTTTGTAGCAGCCATATAGTTTATTCAGTAAATAACTCAAATTAGGACACTATCTAATGTTACACGATTTCCCAGGTGGCACTAGTTATAAAGTATCTCCCTGCCAATGCAGGAGATGCAAGAGAAGTGGGTTCAATCCCTGGGTGGGGAAGATCCCTTAGAGTAGGCAATGGCAACCCACTCCAGCATTCTTACCTGGAGAATCCCATGGGCAGAGGAGCCTGGTGGGCCATAGAACATGGGGTCACAAAGAGTCAGACACGACTGAGCAGACACACACACACACACACACACACACACACACACACACACAGAGCTGTGTTATATAACTTTCACAGTGCAGAGAAGTGTGTCTCTTCATAGAGTTAAAAGGTGAAAATTGCAGAACACTTCTCTTGTTTGTTTTTATCTTTAGAGAAACAATATTAACATACTGCAGATAACTAGATTCAAAGAACCTTCCATAAGTTGGTTGGCCCTTGGTTTTCATTTGATTTTCACTCTTTGATAAGACCATTTTGTAACTAAATAGAATAAAATAGTCATCACATCATGATTAACACATCTAATCATCATGTGACCAATATGGCAAAGTAGTATCATGTCCAAACTGATATCAAGTGATCAAGATACCTTAAGACTAGTCTTTGACAGTGATGGGGATGACACAGCCCTGAGAACTGAGAAACTGCATATACTCACAGGGCTTTCCTGGTGGTTCAGATGGTAAAGAATCTGCCTGCAATGCAGAAGACCCAGGTTCGATCCCTGAGTCGGCAGGATCCCCTGGAGAAGGGAATGGCAACCCACTCCAGTATTCTTACCTGGAGAATCCCATGGACAGAGGAGATTGGTGGACTATAGTCCATGGGGTCACAAATAGTCACACATGATTGAGCGACTAATACAACAACATTGCTACCAAAAGAAGGAAAACCACATGTCATGTCTCTATTGCTTGGTATAGATAATAAAGCATTTTTCAAATAGTTTCATTGCAGGTACCAGAGGTTGTATGAATTTGCACTTGCAAAGATAAGACATGGGTGCGACTGGAATGCTTCCTGGTTACATAATGACATTGCATTGCCATTCTCTAAGATACATTTGCCTATTCAAAGGCTAATAGGAAAAGACACATCATAGAAATCATCACATTTTGAAAATATCTTTGAACATTCCTTTACATTTGAAATTCCTTGAGAAATGTGGTGTTGAATTTAGTTGACTTTTGAAAAAGAGAAGTTCCATTAGGTCTTCCTAAAACTTTAAGTCACAAACCGTAAGTTCTGTGGGTTATGGGTCTGATTACTGGCCAGTCATATTGGATTGGCCAAAAACTTCAATTGGGCTTTTCTGTGACATCTTATGGAAAAATCTGAATGAACTTTGTTGGCCGACCCAGTGTAAGACATGAGCTTGGGGACATGCTTCATGTCTTTCCTTGGGGGGAGCTGATTGCATCATTCTCCCCTCATAATTAAGGAGCTGTCTCTGGTCCTCTGTCCTCTCCCCAGTCTCTTAAGTCAGCAGATGATGCAGGACCATGAGGAACAGATTTCAGTGAGTGTAAAACCCTTCCTTTGTGTAGGACTTCCAGTTATCCCTGGCACACTAAGCACACTCAGCCTTAACATTCTGGCTGGTTTGTTCCTTCCCACTTCCAGAGCAGCCACGTCTTCCTCTCCTGCTCTGCCACAGGTGGGACACTTTTTCTTTCAGCCTCTCTCCGGAGAGACCAATACTGTGTCCTTGGTATTCAGTTGTCGTTGCATTAGGACTCTCAGCTAAGTTTTTGCATACTATCTTTTATTCCCCTCTTGAGATGGTAAGATTGCATGACTTTGATGTTTCCTACTACCAGTAATACTTTTAATACATGACCTGAGAGGCTAACAAAATCATTGGCAGATGTGAGAAGTGCAAAAATACAAAAGCTTGGGGGTTGTAGGGGAGCTTCTCCACCAGCCTTAGCCATGTTTGTACTAAAGTAGATGATTCACAACAAGGCGTCCAAAATCCACAGGCAGCATCCCAAGTCAGCAAGTTGCAGACACCCATGCATCTAATTGCAGTGGCCACTTGAGAATAATCTCTTTCACCTTCCTAAAGCCACGGAGTTGGCAGTGTCTGTCTATAACCTCCCTGGCAAAACACACTTGCTAGTGAAGCATTCAGGTTTATACCTCTGCAAATAGCCAAGAATTTAGAGATTGGTATGAAATATGCTGAGTGCCCACAAATAGTATCTGGCACATCTCAACTCATTCAATTGTAATTTCCAGTATAAGCAAATGATTAAATCTCTGAATATGTATTTATATAGCTGATCTTTTGAATAAATGTTACATGTTCCATAATCCCTAATTTATATTTAGAGTATGCTATAATGGCACTATAAATATCAAATGATAAACCATTTTTCTTTTAATAATACCAAATGAAAACTGCAAAGGAAACTCATGCTAAGCAATGTTTGAAAGTAGGAATATGACAGGAATCATATTAATACTTGAACTTCTGTAACTTAATAGCTATTGGTAACTATGCATTTTTAATGAAATATTTAAATGGATTATAAAATGCTGTATTGTAAACATGGTGGTTATTTTGCTAAATTCTGTGGGTAAAATATTGTAATTTTATAGCAACTATTTTTTCTCTTCAGAGTAAGTGCTATGAAGTTGAATATATCCTTCACATCAATGTGCTCTAATTTTTTAGAGATACAGCTCTGAGTGAATAATACCCAATGATACAAATGAATTAGTTACTGATGATACAACAACTGGAATCTCAAAATACCATCACTCTGAGTGAAAGAAGCCAGGTATAGAAAGTATTACTATATGATTCTATTCACATTAAACTCAAGAAAAGACCAAAATAATCTAGCATGACAGAAAACAGATTAGTGGCTGTTTAGGACTACAGGGAGGAGAAGGGGGTGACAGAGGATAAGATGGTTGGATGGCATCACTGATTCAACAGACATGAGTTTGAGTAACTCCAGGAGTTGGTGATGGGCAGGGAGGCCTGGCATGCTGTAGTCCATGGGGTCGCAAAGAGTCAGACACGACTGAGTGACTGAACTGACTGAGGACTACAGGTGAAAAGAGGATTGACTGAGAAGATGCAAGAAAGAACTTCTGAAGTGATGGGAACTCAATTTGGGAGGTGGTGACATATATTTATCAAGATGCATTGAAATATGCATCTCAGTGAGTACACTGTAATATAAATTAAACTTCAATGAACTATGTTAAACACACACACACACAGATTAGAGAAAGAACTGTCATATTGACATGATGTGTCAAAATCATTCTTCTGAAGGAAGAGATTTAAAGGTGACTGAAAGGTGACATCCTACCAGTGATAGGAGGCAAGATTACACAGTTTCTCAGGAAAACCCTCTGTTAGGAGATGCTCCTGAGAGTGAGAAGTTTACCTGGATGACCTTTGTCATCAAGTCTTCTTTTGGAAGAAGTGAAGAAGTTTTTCCTTTGAGACTTATAGAAATCAAGAAGGAAGAGACAGGTTGATGGGGATCTTTCCTTTTATAAATGACGATGTTTCTCACAGCCTGAGTGGCAACTGAGCTCAGG